TCTTAGGGGAAACACTGAATACTCATACACACATTTACATACACAGTGCATCCCATGAGCACCCCCACCCCGCCCCGCCATGCCATCATACTACACTCCGATATCAAAACCACCCAAGTCCAGTCTACACCACCACCACCCCCACACAGCAGCACCACAAAATACCTGTGAAAGAGCTGTATCATTTCAAACCCAATCATTTATGAAAGCCAGAACACAAAAAAATTGCAGGAGATCCAACCACCACTCCAGTACAACCTGACTTGCATACCCCCACGTAGAGTATACAGTCATACTCTTATGTACAATCCTATATAAAGCACTTGAGACACCCATTTGTACTTGTAATATTATTACTTTATTCTTGTATTATTATGGCTTTATTCTCAAAATATGATTGCTTTATTCTCATATTATTATGGTTTTATTTTCATAATATTATGGCTTTATTCTCAAAAATATTATTGCTTTATTCTCATAATATTATTGTTTTATTCTCATAATATTATTTCTTTATTCTCAAAATATTATGCCTTTATACTCGTAATATCATTGCTTTGTTCTCGTAATATCATTGTGAAAGAAAATACAATTATTCGTGTTCGTTCCCTGAATGTGTGCTAACCAAACGGAGAATGTGCAAATGCATGGAGAGAATCGTTATAGAGTAACCATATGAAAACCCCAAGAGCAACTCTTGCTGATGTCCAGTTTTTAATCAAAGTGCCAGGAGATCAGACCGAATCAGGAAATACAAGGACTTTTATCATAAGCTTCAGGGCATGACTCTGCCTATTTGATTACGTCATCAGTGGGGTCCCTGTCATTTTGTCAAAGCCATGCCCTCAAACAATGAAACCTATCCTAATGATTTAAAAGTTCAATATGTGTTGTATTTGTTACCAGGCATGTAACTATTAATATAGAATCATCAAGTTAATCAAAAGTCACACAGTCATTACAGTTCTATTATAAAACAAACTATTCTATGTATAGGTGTAATTAAAATCAGTATATAACATAAAACCCAATAATTTCTTCAACTGCTTTATTCTCGTAATATTATTGCTTTGTTCTTGTAATATTATTGCTTTATTCTTGTAATATGGCTTAATTCTCGTAATATTATGACTTTATTCTTGCAACATTATGGCTTTATTCTCGTAATATGGCTTTATTCTCATAATGCTATGGCTTTATTCTCAAAATATGGCTTTATTCTCAAAATATTATGGCTTTATTCTCACAATATTATGACTTTATTCTCATAATATTGTGGCTTTATTTTAAAAATATTATGGCTTTATTCTGCTAATATTATGCCTTTATTCTCACAATATTATGGCTTTATATTAAAAAAATATTATGGCTTTATTCTTGTAATAATATGGCTTTATTCTCCTAATATTATTACTGTATTTAAAAAATATTGTTTTTAAAAATATTATGGCTTTATTCTCATAACATTATGGCTTTATTCTCGTAATATTTTTACTTTATTCTCATAATGTTATGGCTCAATCTCATTTATTACCACACAAAATTTTAGGTGAATATCAGTAAAATGTACTGCGTTATAGACATTTTTGTGATTTTTAACGTTAGTTGGTTGTGGCAGCCATTTTTAATCAGTTTGAGTATAAAGGTTAATTAGCTGCAGATTTACATCCATTAATTGCTTTATGAGAATTTTAGTAAATTTACTGAAGTCCAATCAGTTTTCATGAGATACTGTATTTGTAGTCAGATGTTAACAGTTGGACATTAATAGTCAGAAATTAATGGTCAGACACACACACAGAAGTAGGCAAAACCATTATCACTTCATCCTTGCTTTTTGGTAATAAAAAACAAGCCAGTGTAGAATTTTCTGTAATAAATCGTGTACTTTAAAAGTTTAAAATGGGTCAAAATAAGTGCAAAATCTTCAAATTTGCTTGTGTAAAAGTCTTGAAACATGTAGGACCCTGTTTCTGTCTGATCTCTTTCTGTTCTCCGTTCGGCCCTCAGGAACCTCAGCACAGACAGCCTGCGCTTCCTCAGCAGCCGGCAGGCCTTGGCTGACCTGGCTCACTTCCGTACGGTGATGGGTAAAGCCCAAGGGCTGACCAACAGTCGGTGGGTGGCTTTCGGTGGGTCATACCCGGGCTCTCTGGCTGCTTGGTTCAGGTTGAAGTACCCCCACCTGGTGCATGCATCTGTGGCCACTAGTGCTCCTGTGTATGCCACCGTCAACTTCCCAGGTATGAGGAGGCGTTGCTGTGTTGCTACATGTAAATTTAGCATGTTACCATGTTGGATTCTGTTTTCATTATTGCCCACCATCAAATATGAGGGCAGAGCCATAATGTTTTTGTTACTGTTAGCAAAATATCTCAAGAAACCACACACCACAGCTTTTATTTTTATTATTATAGTTTTTATTTTAACATTTTCAGTAGGGGTGCACTGATAGTAATTTACTGGCCATTCACCAATCTTTAAAAAGTTTGACCAGCCGATACGGGTTATGGCCAAAAAAGATTTTTTAATTAACTAACGCTGTCAGATTTTATAAGATCACAATAATTCAACTCAATTCAGTTTATTTATATAGCGCCAAGTCAAAACATACTGTATGTTGTCTCAGGGCACTGTACATGAAAAAAAGAACAATCTAAAGAAGAATAATAACAATACTGTACACCTTCAATGTTCCAATCTTATTTTATTTAAGAACACTGAACAACACCATTGAAACAATACAATTTATTTTTTAAATTAGACATTAGGTAGTGCCCACAACAGAGCAAAAGGGACAGTGGCTCATTTTCAGACCTTTGTAGAGGTAGATGAGAAGTCGGTCTTTTCCTCCGATCTTGTGTAAATATAAGCCAATCTCCCAAAATTAAGGAAGTTGGTGCATCCCTAATTTTCAGTATACAGAATCAACATTCATCAACACCCAACCATATTGGAAACACACCATTTTTTACTGTTATGGAAATATTTATGTAACAAAGACAGAAATACGTGGGCCAAGAATGAAGGTAGTCCGTGGAATGATCAGCTGAGTTTTATTGCAACAACAGGAGCACAGAGAAAAACATCAGACTGTCCCCTTGCTCTCTGCTCCTGTCTGTGCTTCTGCTTCTCCTGAGATAGTTGAGGGGCCTCATATATACAGTATATTGTTTAACAAACACTATTATGTCATCTTAGCAAGATTTCATCCTAGGTCAAGGAAAAACACAAAGATAAACACAAGTGATATTAAGAATGACTGTTGTTAGCAAATCTTGTTCTGACTTTAATCATTCTATCCGCTGATAAACAGCATGTCATGAAAACCTAGGTCATTAAAGTATGTCCTAAATTACTGGCTTAAATCTAAAAATATTAGTTCCACCATATTCACAATATAAAGTCTTAAGAGTCCAGATGTGTTTTCTTTAAAGAAAGTCTGACTTAAGAGGTTTTATGTACTCACTCCACTTAGTCTAGATGTCATCCATGTTCATTATCTTATCCAATCTTGTGTGTTGAGTGTAAACTCCAAATCATGAGCACATCACCTCAAGACTTGGAAAAATCTCTTCTCTTTTTTCTGCTTGGCCTTCAGAGGAGTTGGACGCTTTTTGTTTTCTCTCCTGAACCCGTCCCTTCTTCCCTGCTTTGCAGCTGTGTCAAGCCTTTCTTCTACCTATTATCCGAAAACAAAGGAATTATGGATTTGGTCAACTGTTCTCTGTACGCAATCAACACTATTTTTTCCACACTGAGATTGGAGCATGCGGAGCGCAGCTGTCTGAGTGGAATGGTCGCAGCTAGGCGAATGTCTGGGTCCTGGGGGTGGAACCTGATCTGTTTGGCCCCGCTTTCCATCGAGGACGTGGAAGATTTATATATTTTTGGATTCAGGATAAGTGGATTCCTGCTGATCGGCTGTGGAGGTGTCCTGGTTTATCGGAAAATGAAAGTGATCCTGACAGCAGTCTGGGAATGTAAAAAGCTGTCAGGGACCATGGATGGGATCTCCCGTACTGAGAATGCACAAACTCAAATGTTGGGGGATATAAGTTGCAAACTGGATGTGGTTCTGAACGAGACTCACAATTCAGCAGCGTGCCCGTGAGGAGTAAGATAACACCTGGGTGAAGTTTCAGACAGAGAGAGGCGAGGAGGTAATGAATTTGGAACATTGGAACTTTCGCAAACACAGAGATGAAGTTAAGACTCAAAGCAGAGAAAATCAGGCTGCTTGCCTCAAACAATTATGTTTATCATTGGATCCCTGCAGCTGCGACCTTGGAACGACAGCTACAGCGGGTAAAATAAGTATTGAACACGTCAACATTTTTCTCAGTAAATATATTACTAGAGGTACTAATGACATGAAATGTTCACCAGATGTTGC